CCCGCCAGGCCATAATTTTGACCTGAGTCCGACCACATCAGCCCTGGCGACCTCCTCTCCACCCAGGCTACTGTACGTGCTGAGCAGGGTTTGCAATTTCCTGTCTCCATTGCCTTTGCTCATGATATTTCCTACAGCTGGAAAGCTGCTTTTCTTCCACCCTCCCAGCCGCCTGTCCAAAAACATATCCTTCCTTGGAGGTTCAAACACCACACCCTCCAATTAGCCTTCCAGCAGCCCCCCCACCCCCAAGCCTCTTGTGCACACTTTGTGGGGCCTGAGCCTCCACCAGGGCCCTTAGTACATATTGCCGAACATGGAAAGCATGCAAATGGTGCACCTATCCTGCTGCAATGCAGGGCATGGATGGCACCTTGGTTCTCGTTATAGACATCCCACCCATTACAGTGCTCGGTGGGTATACAAAATTTTTTTAAATTAAGCTATACAGAATATTTAGCTCTGAAAATGGGAAGTGGGTTACAAAATGAGTTTTTTAGTATAGAATATATTAATGTGCCAGTAACCGAGATTACAAACAACACGAGCTTAATCCCTACTGGGCTAGGTGCACAAAAATAAAACTACGGAGATGAGAAAGACAGTCAAGGCACACACCCTTTCCACCTCCTTCCACAGGCTAATAACATGCTGGAAGCACCTCTCCTCTCCACCAAGTTGGGGCAGATCACACTATCTTCTCACTAATGTTAGTTGCATCTGAGATAAGTCACTGAGTAAGCATTTCCTGTCTACAATCCGATGCTGGCTGAATTTGTCTGAATAACAGTAGATAGAGCTATACACAAAGGCCAGCCAGGATTCAAGGGACAATCATCCAGGTGTCAGACACGGAAAGTCTTTGAATCAAACAACACAGACACGTGCTCAGTGTGAAAGAAGATACATGTTGCTGTCATCGGAGTAATCATCTCATGATTTTGAAGAAAACTGCAATGTGTATAAAACTCAAACAAAAAATTATTTTTAGAACGCCCATAATTTTGTATTATTTACAAATGGGTTCCCTTCCTGGTGATTTTAGATTCAATTCTATTAGGTCTCCTATTTTCTCAAGCATTATCTTAGCATCGGAGGTCATGTAATTCATCGATCCAAAGATTATGTGGCAGTGCTTAAAGCGATACCCTGGAGGCCTGGCTGCCCATCATCTCGGAAGCTCGGCCACTAGGATGCTCGCTCTGATTTACACAAATGCACTAACACCCAAGACTCTGATGTGGATTAGGCCAAAGAGTGTCTTGGGAGAGAAAAAGTATACAGCCAATGGGAATCTGAGATGCTCAGCAACAATCCTTTACCGTATCTTACTACTAATTGCTCATAAATGTATTAAAGAAGGTAATCAGTTATAGAGAAAGGAAGAATGGGAGAAAGGTAGTAACTCAGTTGTACCACCATGACACTAAAATATTTGACTTACAGTTATTCTCTTGGGTACCATGAGGTTAACCTGTAATACCCACTCAACTAAACTTCTGATAAATAGTTGGTTTTCTACCATCACAGCCACTGTTCTCAGAGAAAAGCCAGATTTAACTCTTGTGTAACAAACACCAGAAGCCAACAGAACTAGGAAAGCTGTTTATGTTGATGCTCACCAGGAACCTGTCCGCAAAACTGCACTGAATGATCCAGTAAGGATGGAAGTCTCCTCAACAAAGCTTCAAGACAGAGGAAATGCATCCTTTAAACTAGGCACCGCCCTTCACCCTCTCCCAGTTTTTCAATGAATAGGGGTTTTCACAAGACAGAAGATAAGAAACAGGTCATTTCTTTTCATACAGGTTTGGTATGTTTACAAGCAGAAAATAATTCCGTACCTTCCACAGCATTTAGCTACTTCAGGTAGCTAGGACCCTTACGTAGACTAAAAGTATTTGGGGTGGATGGGAAGAAGAGTCATTTTCAAATGTTTTTACACACATTAGCTCATTTAAATTCTCAAAACAATTCTAGAGGGTAGAAGGATCACCGAATTTTACAGACACGGGCAGTTAAGGACAGAGAGACTGAGTAATCTGCAGAAGGTCCCACAGGAGGCAAGAACCATCACTCTGCTCTCGGGCATAACAGCCAAAGGTGTGCCAACATTTTATAAAGATTGTGGCATCTATACAATTATCACACAAAGAAACACCATTTTAGAGTAGATAATTCGCCAGTCCTTGTCAGGACCTGAACTTCCCAATGAACAGCTAAAGCACACCGCAATTAGAAGAGGTCGTCAAGTACTATAGTGACCAGTAAGGCCAGGAATAGAACACAGGTCTGGTGACCCCCACGCCATGCCCAGTTGGGTGTGTTCTTTTGGATGCTGACACCCTTCTGAAGTTTCAAGTTAGTTGAGAATAGCAAAGAAATGAGTCAATAATTGTGGCAAATAGAAGAGAATGTGGAAAGTATCTAGATTAGAGGGATTTGATATAAAAAGAGGCATGACCATATGAAGTTGTCTACCAAGGAAATTCTGAACCAAGGACACTAGTACCTGCAAATTTTCCCATTTTCTGCAGCAAAAATGAAAAATAATCTTTGCCTTCCCCACCCTAGGAGTTGTGAATGATTAGCCTGGCTATGTTGATAACTAAGGAAAATATAAAATGAGTGCCTCTCTCTCTCAGATGATTTTGAATACTTAGAGACTTACCCTACCACCAAACTCCCCCAATGGTAGGCAAAAGACAGCAGGACACTAGGAACGTTTAGCCAGTGTCAGCCGTAATAAACCCTCCAGGGCCGCCAACAACTCTCCTGTTAGCGCCAATGATCGTGCCCTGATGAAGAGGTTGGAAACAGGAAGGCTGCTGGGTGCCAGAGGAGAAGTGAGGAGAGAAGCAACATGGCTGGAAAACAGAGATGGCAGGGAGACACGGGGAAGGAAGGGTCTCAGGACAGAGGTACCTAGAAAAGACTAGAGAGAACCAGCGCAAAAGGCTGGGATAGCAGTAACTTCTCTGCGGGTGAGAAAAAGACTACTTATTGAGTCAGACATCATCGGTAAGGATAAGGGACAGCCAAAAGCAAAAAAAAAAAAAAAAAAAGGATTAGAAGACCCTTAACCTAGGCTAAATGTTATTCAGATCTGTTTTCCACTGAAGAGATAAAACACTAGATAAAATTGCCCAGCATTTCCCAAATGCTGGATGGTAGATTTTAGATTCAATGCTTAGTCTTACTATTATAAGTTTATTTTTTAAAACAGAAAGATAAAATAATTGTCAAGCCATATCTTCTATCAAATTCTTCATGGTTTGCAGCTTCTAGCAGAGCACAGGGAGAGAGAAAACTGGAGCTGAGAGGTTACATCAAACCACATCTACTCATGGATCTCACTTTCACTCCAATTTGGCCAAACCAAAACTCCTACACTTGGGTAAAGCATTTTAGTTTTATAAAAGTACATATCAAACTTCAAATAATTGAAATCCTCAGAAAACTCAAAGGTATTTCTTTCACTCTTCCACATTTAAATACCTCCTTCCAATCTGTTCTGGGAAGAGCAAAAAAAAAAAAGTTGATTACACAGCTCAATTACAGCATATATTTTAATGTCTATCAACAGTTCTCTCTTCTTTTAACCATTCTCAAAATGACCCATCTCAGCATATTTAGATGTATAATAAATATTAAAATTTAATGTAAGTATGACTGGTTGATGCAAACCACCGATTTATATAAGGCTATACTTGAAATCTCAAAACCTTTCTTTCCTATTATGAGTTACTGCTGTTCACATAAGGTACCATACAGAAAAAGTGTCTAGAAACAGTTCATTAAAAACAACAAAAACAACCAACTTAGAATAAAAGAATCAAAACTGAGTAAGAGGAAATCAATCAACAACACCCAATTAGAAAACTAAAAACCAAACCAAACCAAAACAACCCCGCTCCTTCTATACTGGATATTCTTCATTTCCTCCTTTCACTCAGGGAGGGTGGGGGTGGAGTGAAAGCAGCTCAATGTCTAAATATTCACCCTCCATCCCCAAGGCCCATCAAGCACTTCTGGTAACTAGACTCTGCAGAGGCCACAGACACTGGGACTTGGTTGGTCCCACTCCATTCCCAGCTTACCCATTCCCTGGCTCAGCCAGAGGAAGAACTCTCCACCCCCCTCCAATTCCACCTGGAGGGAATTCAGGTGAATGAGACTGAATCCCCTGCTAGTATTCTCTTTATATAACTTTACTCTGAACTTTCCTCAGCAAACCCTCCTACCCCAAGTTTAGCAAAAGATGGGATTCTCAGCTTTGTGAAATATCAAAGGAATTTATAAACGGCTCATTTAAGCAATTTATAAGAATCCTTGTGTATCTATCTGTTCAATGAAAAGTGCAAACTTTTACCTAAAATTATTTATTTAAGTAATCTCTAAACCCAACGTGGGACTCGAACTCATGACCCTGAGATCAAGAGTCGTGTTCTCTTCCAAATGAGCCAGCCAGGCACCCTGAAAAGTGCAAACTTTTAAGGCTAGAAAATTAAAGAGTTAAAACTACTCTTCAAAACATAAGCAACATTAAAGAAAGAAAAAGTCCCCATAGAATTCAAAGTCTAGTGAGCCACAGATCTCTTCATTCTATTGCTCGGTTGATGTCTTCTGCCAATAACCAAATCCAATTGGTGGTAAATGATATTTCCTGTTTCAGCCACTATATTTACAATTAGATGTTAATGGCTCAACACCCCAGGCAACCCCCAACTAACCCTCTGTTGTCAAAGACCTTTCTGTTCTTACAAGGTAAGTCCACTTTCTTTGTGGGGGGATAAGCATAATCTGTCACTACTATCTAAAATCAGGAGCTAAAACTAAAAGTAAAGGAAGTAAAATGAAGAAGATCTTAGGGGCCAGCCAGAGTCTGAGCACAGCACAGGGTTAAAGGAAACCATTTCATAAGATCAAGTGCGGAGAAGCAGCAGGGGCAAAGAAGAAAAAAAAAAAAATCAAGTTACATAAAGTCCAATTGTACTCACTGTTTCCTTATTGGGAAGCAGCTCCTTTCTAATTCTGAAGAAGTTCTTGCCGTACTGCCTGAGCCCCTTAACGAAGCGTTTCTGTGATAAAAAGAAACAACAAATGGGATGTAAAAACCAAAAACAAAACAGGATGTCAGCAAAGCAAAGATATCTGCAATCAGCAGAATAACAACCACAAAAAAGTCTGAGCTAGGGAATACTGACTAGGCTGGGAGACAATTTCAGCAGTACAGCTGGGACCCCCCGCCAGGGCAGGCCCTGGACAGCCGTCATCGGAACCCCAATCGCACACACGTTTGGGAGAAGGACATCCTGGGTCTGAGGCTAAGTAGCAATGTGTGCTCTCGGTACCACAGTCTCCGCATTGGTCCACCAAGCTATAAACAAAAACGCTCCGTGTTTCAATAAAACAGCACAACTGCTTTCCACCTGAGAACGAAGCTTCCCAGAGTGTTGAGCAGAAAGGAGGGAAAAGGAATCAAACCTCAAGACTTTTCTCCAAAAGGTCATCCTAGAAGGGTTAAAAGGCCCTTTCGTTAATCCGAGGAATTCGCCAAGAAGGCACCGATATCCATGGAAGCCCACTGGGAGCCCGAACCCCCATCGCCGTCATTAAAAGCCACTCCAAGGCACCAAATAATCACCAGCACCCCTTCCTTCTTCCCCACGCTCCCCACCGCCACCCCCACCCCCACCCCAGCAGTCTGGAGACTTTCACTTTGTCCCATTCCTTCCAGGCAGCCCCTCCCCAGCCCCGTGGAGGCAGCTCCCGTCTCCGTGGCCCCCACCTCAGAGCCCCCGGCCTGGGGCTCGCGGTTCGAAGCCTGGTCCCTCTCGACCGACCCCCGCGACACTTCCCGGCCGGGCGGCCCTGCAGCCACAGGTACGCCGCGCCGGCCGCACTCAGGGTCCGGGCAGCGAGAGGCCGCGCCTGTCACTCGGCTCGGGCTCCGGCTCCACAAAGCGCAGGGCGGAGGCAGCCGGGGCGGCTCGGCGTGTGACCGCGGCGGGGCCGCGCGGCGCGGGGCGCGGGGGGCGCGGGGCTGGGGCCGCCGCGGCCGGGGGAGGAGGCTGGAGCGCGGCGCGCAAAGCCCGGCGCGGCCGCGGGCGGCTGCAAAAGGCGGCCTGGATCGCCGCGCCGCCCGTCGGCCCCGAGCTCCGTCCCCGCCCGGGCCCCAGCCCGAAGGCTCCACGGCCAGAGCCTCCGGGCCCCCGGCGCTGGTATCTTGGTCTCCTCACTCCGAATAGCAGGAGTAAATCCGAGCAGTAAAGCGCAGAAACTTCCTACCACGGTGAGCGGGAGCAGAGGGCAACCACGGGGCCCGGGCCGGGCTGAGCGGCCACTCGGGACCCTTCCCAGGCCGCTCCGTCTCCAGTCCTCCTTCCGGGCGGGCAGAGTCAGCAGCGCGACAGCCGCACGCCCACCGCCCTCGGACTGCGAAATGAGGGGCTGGCCCCGACGACCCTCGCGGTCCCTTCCGGCCCGGGATTGTAGGCGGCAGCTCCGCCCGGCCCAGGCATTAGCCCGCACCTCGCAGGGCGCCGTTTCACAACTAAATCACCGCGGAAGCTTCCCAGCCAATAAATCACCTGCCCACCGGGAGGAGAGTCCCTCCCACTCCCGGTGTTTGAGACCAGTCGGGCAAATTCAGTGAAGAGCCAGACTTGGCCTGCAAGACCGATCTGCAACCTCCTACTCCATTCCTGGAGGCTCTGCATTTTCAGATTTCACCCCCTTTCTAAGATATGACTCATCATTGTCGGTTTCCAATATAATTTGTATAGTTCAAAGGAAAAATCTGTCAAGGCACAAAAAAGCAGCTCTCCTCTAATCTGAAGAGTGACCTTTGTTACTTGTATGATCAACATGCATCCTGAGCTCGGTGCAGGGCATCTCCTCTGGGAATGCTGCAAGGCAATGAGACTGCCCTGCCCTCAAGGAGCTCCAGTCCAGTGGGCGGGCAGGCAGGCCGGTGGGCAGGAAAGAGAAGGGATCAATTTCTGGGCCCTTAGAAAAGCAGCAGAGGGACAAAGGGCTATGAATGGGACTAGAAGAAGGAAGCCACTTACTCTGCTGATGTCTTAGAGGAAGTGACAAGGAAGAACGAGCCTGCCAGGTGGGCTCCAGCAGGGCTTCGAGCAGAGGAGTCAGCCAGCAAGGGCATACAGCACATTCTGGGAACTGCAAGGAGGACAGGGTATACAGAATGGAGTGCCAGCAGATAAGACTGAAGAGGCAGGAGAGGATCAGGTTGCAGACAGCCTTTAAGCCAGGCTGAAGTGTCATGGTCCTAACTGTAGGTCAGTAGAGAAGTTAAAGCACAAGTGGTCCATGGAAAGACTGGGTAAGGGTTGCTCCAGGGGCAGTGTGGCCTATGTCGTGGATTAGGGACAAACTGGCAGCCATTCAGAGACCAGTTAAGGAGGCTAGTGAGATAACTAACCCAGGTGTGAGAAGAGGAGGGCCAGAACTCTACCTCAGCCATCAGAATTAATGCTTCTTAATCTGCTCTTTAAGTATTTACTAGCATCTAGCACTGGGAGGAATTTTTTTTTTAGGGGGTAGCCATAGACCTTTATGAAAACTGTGATTCATTTTTAGCAGGTAAGATAAATGTGTGTGAAGTCATGATAGAACAATCTGAGACTTCATTCAGCCAAGCATAAAGCAGTGAAGTGTAACTCATCAGTGCAGCAGGGGCAGCCGGGAAGAGGGATGGCCTGTAGTAGTCCAGGATACCTTCACCAAGGCAACAAGACAGGCCACCCCATGAAGAACCAAGAGCATCTGCAGAGGTGGAGGGGGGTGGAAAGACCATCCATGAAACACAGAGGTGGAGAAGGGGAAGCAGGTTATAGGAGGGGGGTGCTATACAGAGTTGAGGTAGGTGATCTGGCATGAGTCAGATGGTAGAATGCCAGCACTATGCAATCTGAATGTAAGCTTGATGCCAAATGACACACAGGCTCACCAGGAGACACTGGCACAACGAAGGCAGCAGCTGAGAGAGGCTAAATCTGAAACATCAGGGTAATGTGATACATTTGGGCAAACTTGAGTTCAAGTCCCGATTCTTCTACTTGTTATGATGTAATCACCAAATCTTATCCATTCAACTAGTGGTTATTAAGTACCTACTATATGCTAGGAACCTCACATATATTAATCCAAAACCCTCACAACCTAGAAGGAAATACTACTACTATCTGCATTTTCCAGACAAGGAAGCTGAGACACAGATGGTTAAGTAAACCAGACCAAGGTCACCTAACTCTTCAGAGCAAGGGCAGAATGCAAACCCAGGGTCCAAACTCCAATTCCTGCAGTGCCACTCTCTCTGTAAAATGGAGGTAAGAGTCTTCAGAGGGAGCCGTTTTCAGTCATGGTACCATTACCTGTGACTCCACCCCTTCCTGTTGGCCCCAACATCACATCACCAACCCCTCAGCATTCTTCCTAAGAAAGGTCTTTCAAAGCCCTCCTTTCATACCCATTCTAGTGCTAGTCCCAGGCCAACCCCTTATCTCTCTCTCCTACTAGATAGGCTATTAGCCCATCTCCCCCATCCGGCCATGTATAAGCCTCTACCAAGGAATTTTTCAAAACCACGTATGTCATCACAAGTCCCATATTGTCTTGCCCCCAACCCCTACTTGAAAAGAGTTCCTTGACCTCTTCAGAATGGTGTTTACACCCCTTAGCTCTTAATTCAAGACCCTCTAGGATCCTGTCTCCGCCTACATTTCCAATCAGATGTCCAGTAATGGCAACTGGCCCGCTGCACCCTCTGTTGAACTCTAGACTCGGACATCTTTTCTACTCCTCTCCACAGCCTACCCAAGATACTTTCAGTTTACCTCAAAACCAAGCTCAAATCCCTCCCCCTCTGACATAAAACTTCCCTGACCATTCCATCCCCTTCACTTGGCATTTATTTGTATAAGCCCTCACGTGCGCATATAGAGTCTGTAAGCCCTGAAAAGACAAGAACTGTATCTTCTATCACTTTGCCTCCCTATAGCATTAGGCAGTTGGAGCTCTCCAGTTTTGGATGCAGAAGTGAAACAAGCCACGAGATGACAAGGGCCTGGGCTTGGGTGGCCAGGGTGGAGAGGGACTGGTAAAAGCCAAAGGATCCATCATGAACTCTAACAACAGAGTTGACCTGCTTGGCACCAAACTTTCCTGATTTTCCTATCAACTGGCTAGATTCTCTACTCAACTTCTAAATGCTAGAGCTCTTCCCAAGGCTTTGTTCTAGGCTTTCTGCTCTCCAAAACCCCTCCTAATGTGATCTCCATTGCTTCCTTGGCTTTCAATATCACCCAAGATTCGCCGTACTATCTCTAAGGCTAAATCTATGGTCCAGGTCCAGTGGGAACACTTGCTCAAATGTCTCAGAGACATTTCAAACTACTTCCAGAAATATGAATTCGATATCTGGTGGTGAACATAGACCACCAATGTCAATGTGTATCAATGACTGTGCTACCAAGTGCAAAAGCACCATTCGCCCCACTTAAAAAAAAAAAGGAAGTAAAAGCTTCATGTGGCCTGTACTGTTACTTCTCTATGGAAAGCCACAAGGCCTCAAAACTGGCAAAACATCTGCTTCTCAGAGACCAGCCTTTACCTTGTGGTTTACCAGAAATGTAGAGTAGCCTTTAAAATCGAAACAAAGCCAACCCACTCAGAGCAGTCAATGATGAGAATAGGTCAGTATGTTAAGTGAGTTTCTGAGGCCTTAGGCTCCTTTCCCTCTATTAATTCATCTCACTTCAAATGAAGACCTTGAAGGTTTTCAGGCTTTAATTTAATAATTAACACTATTGACTTAAAAACAGGTAGGTACTATATGCTTCTAAATGAAAATTCATAGACACAGTCTGTTTTTTAACAGCCTTCTAGTAGTTGAACTGAAATTCAGCATGTCCAGTGCTGAAATTCAAGCCCTCATGAATTATTTCTATGTCCATTAGCTTTTCTGTCCCTGGCAGTGCACAGATATTAGAATGCTAGGATGCAAGGGGTGAAGGAGAAGACGACTGTTCATTTAAGAGGCAGTAACTTTGGCTCA